ATATATATATATATATATATATATATATACATAAATATATATATATACGCTACGATGCGGTAAAGTATCGGGATGCACGGGGTGTGGAGTTTCGGAAATGTATAATTACGCGGCGTTATTACCTATTTTCGTATATCGAATACGCCGGACCTGTCAAAACGGAGCAGATCCGCTCGTCCGGTGGACATTGATCCCGTGATCTTATCAATCCAAATTACATAATCAATATCGGCGGTGCATTTGACGAACGTGCGTCGCAATACTACGCCGCTCCCGTACGCGTTTCTCGGTATACGCTAAACGATTAAACAAATGGGAATCACTAGTGTGTATATAGAGGACCACGGGTTCTTTAATTTTACAATTCTTGAGAGAGAGAGAGAGAGAGAGAGAGAGAGAGAAAGAGAGAGAGAGAGAGAGAGAAAGAGAGAGAGAAAGAGAGCGAAAGAGAAAGAGGGAGAGAAAGGGAGAAAAAGAGACGAATGTTTGTCAGAGAATAATTAATAATAATAATGATAATTCACATTGCGTATCTCTTGTTGCGCGCCTAGTAGACTGCAAACAGTAGTCGTTGTTCGAAAGTCCGTACGTCGTGTTTTGGTGGCACGAGCAGGAAGTGTATAGTGTTTAATTGCAGCAAGTCCACGCATCGACGGAGCTTTTACGTCGCTTTCCGGACAATTACTTTTGTGATTTATTCGTAATCTCGAGGGGACGTTTAAGATGGGCACTCGCAATTTTCAAGGATCTAAGATTAACAGCTCTGCAAAAAAAAAATAAAATAAGTGAATTACAAGAAATTGATAGTGAGCATAGCTCATATGCACAAGAGAAATAATCTTTCTAACTTCTTCTCTGTGGATAAGTAAAGTATAACAGAATGAAAAGAAAAGTTTGCCGTAACGAGAGAATCTTAATTCTTGCGCAAAGGATTAAGCCATTTTAATTCCGTTTGAAGGATTAAAATGAATAATTCTTGAAAAATTAATTTCTCCGAACTGCGTGCGATAAATTTCTATCGATTTCTTGAAATTTCTAGGGGAAGCTTTATGCGGGGAAAGCTTTAACGTCCAAACGGATGGAACTGAAGGAGCTGCAGTGGCCGAGGCCATCTTCGCTCTTCGATAATTATATGAGTAATTGTCTCTTGTTGGACTGAAAAGCGACGCAAAAGTCGGTCGCGTTGTACCCAGATATACTCCGCATACCTTGTTATTCAGCAGCAGTTGAACAGATGAATATGTTTTATTGCAGAGAGCCGTAATACCACAAGTGAAACCGTTCTAAGTATGTTTGTTATACACGCATATTGTTACCATTGCCACATGAAAGCAATTATTAACTCCATAGCCTGGGCCATTGTTAGACGAACGAGAACTCGGGACTACTTTCTTGAACTAGGATTGCACAGCTGAGACATTTTCTAATGTCCAATGTAATTGCGTTCTTATGAGATGTAATATCTATTGCGTCAATAGGACAATTAAAGAGATCCAGGGATCTCAAAGCTGCACGCGATATTTCTTAGACTTTAAGCGATTGGACGTGAACGCTGATCTTTCGGCACAAAAATTACGCGACCTTTTTAATTTTCTCGGTTATCTGGATATAATTTGCGAGTCTGAGTTGATTGGCACAGTTATGTGCTTCCCCGTAATTTCTTTTTTGTTTCATATTACATCTTCCCAACAGTTGATTTCGCACGCAATCCTACGTCGAGAAAGGAAAAAGTTGCAAGAAAGTGTGAGAGACAAGTTATCGTAAATAGCCGCCGATTACTCCGTAACAATGGCAACGCCCGTACGTATGAAGTCTGTAATCGAAATGCTTTATATTTTTACACCGAACAAAGCAGTATATAACGTACAATAAAACAATAAAACATGTCCTTCCATACATGCAACCTCAAGATGACAAATGTTAAATTTTTATTTTTACAACAGCCCACTATCACTTCCGATATCTGAGCTATATTTGGGCGTATAATTATAGTTGAGACTATTAATTAGGATAATTAAAGTCGGCTAGATTCATTTTAATCGACTCACAATTTTACAATTTCTACACGAATGATCGTCTACTGTAATATACGCATTATATGATACGTATACGTATGTTAGTGATATTATACCGTGCGACGACGCGTTTTACGGCTGTTAATCCGCAAAAAGAAAAGGAAGAAAAGATCTCGAAAGTGTTAATTTTTTCTCGGAACACTCTACCGAAATTGTGAAAACGAGCTGGCCTGTCCAAGTAAATAATTAACGTTCTATTCGTCCGTTGTCGCAGCACCGATTGTACATTGACGCTGGTTAATTCCGGACACCACAAAAAAAAACAAAAAAAAACGCATGATTCATGCGTTTCAAAGCGAAGAAATCAAAAGGACGAAAAGCAAATAGTACCAAAAGCGAACTGCAAACGCCGATGCGTTTAACTTTACGATCGACACATGTACATATGTATTTATTAAAAAAAAAATGATAGATATACGAACGCACACGTACACTCTTGCGCATAGGTTTCCATCGTGCCGAACACTGTGTGTGAAATATTTTTCTCTCCGACGTTAACCTTTGGACTATTCGTATGCAAAACAAAGTGATGGTGAAGCGAGATCTCGATGTAATTTCGCAAATGCGTGACAGCCTTTGATGTGCTCCCACGTAACGTCAGCGGACGCCATCGATGACCGATCGAACGAGCGCTGATCGGATCTCACAAAACTTTATGTAGCGATCATCCGATCGAGATTTCGATACGGCGTCACGAATCATTTTCGAGAAATTCACGAGTGCAAATTTAATGAAAAGAGGAAATGCAGGATCCGCGACATCTTTTACACGATTAATGCGTGAGGAATGAAAGTTTTATACGGCGGATGAAAAAGCTACTTCGAGCACTGTCAAGAGTTGTGCGACATCACGTGATATCGTTCTTTTTAATCGGATCTTCGCAGAATTTCAGCGTCAACCGAGTGTACAAAATTAAAATTGCATTCTCTTTAATTTTCCGCGCGGCTCGTTGATAAAACCAACTCCGGCAATCCCTCCAAGAAATAAAAGCTAGCTGATATCAAGACGTTAACATAGCAAACATTTGCGTATACAACATGTCCTTCCATCAGTAACACCGTTACTGTTATCATTCAGTTGATCGACTTACAGTGTTTTATCGAAGTAGTTTCTCATCGACAGAACACTGTATGGCTTTCATCATAGTCTAGATATTATCGAATTTAATTTAGGCGATTTGCATATGCAGACTGTGTCGAAAGTCTCTCGCGATTTGTTAAGAATAATTTTCAAATTAGAGGATTTTGATAGTTTGAGTCTCCGAGATTACATATTTAAATTATTACTTTAAAAATTAAATTTTAATTCAATTAATTTTTCCAATAAAATTAAATTTATCAAAATCGTGATCTAAGAATAAATACATATATTATCGCAGAATGATTTACTGTTGAAAATTAAAAGATTTCAATCAATTAAACGTTTTGCTCGAGAGAGTTTTCCAAATGTGTAGCTTGGAAAATGTGCACGACTTTAGATACAGTCAACATATGCATATTTGATATTATAAGTTAAGGAGACAATTTAAACGCGCGTAATGTCGGAGATTACCGGCGGAATTACACGAGCGAATCAAATAAAATTCACGTTTTTTAGAACGCCTCTAACACACTGTAAAAACACAACCGTACTCACTTGTACGTGAAAGTATACGTATCCGAGAGAAGAGGGAACTTCAATATCCTCAATTCGCCAAATCGCGACGGAATTTTCTTCGAAGCGGAGAGTCGCATCGCGCCTCAAAATTGGACATTGCTTTCTGGGAACATGGGAACAGAATAAAAAGGGGACATCGATATATATATCGAATCTACAAGTGTGCGAATGCGAAAAGGGTGGGAGGGGAGGCACGCGATTTTATATCGAGGGTGAAATTAATAATCAAAATTAAACGACTGGCGAAACTTGTGATTTATTAATACTATTTTATAAAACCGATACGGTACGTCCTTAGATATATTACAATTAAATGTAAAAAAAAGAACAAATCGAGGAAAATTCCCTTGTGAAGGAGCATGAGTATAAATAAAAAGATTTTTAAACATTATCGTCCGTTTTTATCGCATTTTCATCCGAACGATCAAAAACGCGAAGACAGTCTTTTTCGTTTCGAAGTTTCTCGTTACTCATTTTGCGCACGTTTCGAATCGTTGGGACTGTGTTCGTAATGTTATTAGCGATTAGCAAATAAACGTTTCTCGATCATTAGAAGTCTCATCAAAAGAAGAAAAAAAAAAATCGAACGTTCACAGGAGAAAAAGTACATACCACACGCTTACTGGAAAACACGAATATGTATTTCAAGACGTCTTCATGCAAAGCTGATGAATGTTTTACGTGTATTAAAATGTTCCCTTTTAATCCTATTAAGACTTACAAAATATTATAAGTATTATACTTTACTTGTATATATACATATGTGATAAAAAAAGCAAAATATATATATATCTATATATACATCTTGTTCTTGTACGCAAAATTATATTCGTGTCCTATTCTCCGTAAAGCAAGTGTATATGTTGAAACACATTATATATGCATAATTAATTCATAATAATGCAGGCATATGTCAAAATCTTGCTACCATAAGGACTACAAATGACTTTACAAATAAAAGTTTTATATATTTACAGAAAAATATATTTTCCATTTTTTACAACTATTTTTTTTACAATTTAAATTTTATTAAATTTATCTCTTAATATGAAATAGTATACAAAATATGAAAACTCAATGATATTCGTGTAAAATGCAGATGATTTTATATTTTGCCATTCTGAATAGAATTTTTGCGGAAAATTATGTGTTTAACACATCTCTAAGATATTTAACGCATAACATTTAATATAAACCGCATTAAGTTTTATTATGAAACAGAATGTGCATTATATATTTATCACAGCTCTATAACAAGATAAAAATCTGCACATTCAGTCAAATAATAATTATGACAGTAATTATTTATTTTCAGTTCAAATAGTAATTATAACAATTATTTTTCGGGGAAATTTTAAGGCTCTAATGATCCTCACTTTAATTCTTAAATCGCTGGTGAAATCCTAGTATACCAAAACTAGGAAGCAGAGTTAAACTACATTTGTACTCTAGAAAATTAATGGATGGAATTAATTATCTGACTAAAAATCAGTCGTGTCATTATGTATTAAAAAAATTATTTAGTAATAATAAAGTTTATCTTCTTAAACATTTAATATGGAAAATCGAGTAAATTTCACTTAATGTGACCACCTGTACAATTAATCATTCTTCGACGACACCATGTCCAAGTTGGAAACCGTACTGAAACTGGTGTCACTCCAATCAGGATGTGGATAATCCCGCACTGGACTCGGAACACTGACTGGTATTCTATTCGATGCAATACTTTCTACAATTTTTGAATCATGAAACGATTTTTTTTTAATATTGTTTTGTATTTCCTCAGATCTTGAAAACTTTCTCGCTTTATATACGTCATTTTCCTTATTGTAATCCTTTTTTAAAGAATGAAATGAAGATCCTCTTCCTATCACACCGCTTGTATTTATACCGCTATTATTTTGCGCTGCTGCTCCTTTATTATTTGTAACTGCGATTATAAAGCATAATGTAAATTAAAAATTTATATTAAGATGGCTTCATATTAATAACAATATTTTCGCAATTCATGTAATAAATTCAAAGACTTACCTTGATTTTGGTAAGAATCAAGTATAGTATGTGACGATTCTCCATCGAGTAAACTAACGAGTTCTAAATGTGCAGAGTCTTTAACGGTCGCGTCTACAGCAATGTGTTCTCGAGTTTCGTGCCTCACTGAAGAAATGTTCGATAAATCCCAAGATTCAGTAGAACGATTGGAAAAACTCGAAGTAGGAGATGAGCAGGCCCGTACTGTATGAACTGTCGATGTATTAGCCGATCGTACCTTCACTTCATTCATCTCCAATTTTGCGATCTGATTTTGTAATTTCCTGTAATTGCAATATATTCATTAATATGTATGATGTGTATTGATAAGTAAAGCATGTTTTTAAATTTACTAATGAGTTCATTGATAGTGTAACATCATTTACATGGCATTGTCAGTAAAATTTTCAAATTATATACATATAGAGTATTAAGAGACGAGTACTAACTTTATTATATTTTGATAATCTTTAATTAGCGTATTTTTTTGACAGCATAATTCTGAATATTTATCTCTCTCTAGTGTCAAGTATTGAGTATTAATATAATTCTTTTCTGCAAGTTCTGTTTGCTTGACCAGATCTGCTCTTAAATCTGATATTACTCTTTCTGATAATTCGTTATTTTTTTCGATTTGTTGTTTTAATCTCAATATCACTTTATTTTTATCTTCTGCTGTGCGAGTTATTTCTTCCCATTGTTCTTTAAGCATCTTTGCTTGGCCTTCTAACATTGCTTGTTTCTCATCAACTTCCTTTATGTAATTTTCTTGCTCTCGAATTTGGCTAATTTAAAATAGTAAAAAAAAATTTAAAAAATTAACCATTAAATTAATATTTTAATATCTTTATATATCATATCAAACCTGCGCAATTTGTCTTCTTTTAACATCTGCAATTCCCATATACTCTTTATCTTTTCACTAGAATCCTCAATTTGAGCTTTACTGTCTTTTAATTTAATTTTTAAATCCTATAAAAATAAATAATAGGATATAACTTATTCAAAAATAATATAAATAGTAAAAAATTTAACAAGATTATAGGATGAAATGTACATGTCCAAAGATATAAATTACATAAATACCTCAGATAATAAATTTTCAGGATTTGCAGATATCTTTGACAACACTTGTTCTATTTTGTTAGAGATTTCACAGGCTTTTTTATCTTTTCTCACTAAATCTTTTAACTCTTTCATTAAGGAACCTAATATATGTATTGGATTAGATTCAAATTTGTCATTATCATACATTTCAGGATGTTGTATAGCACGATCTTGAACGAGAACTGAACAACAGCATCGTGTTTTTGAATGATCTTCAGATTTCTTTTGAGAAGATATTTTTTTGAATGAATTTGCATTTGTATGGTTATCCTAAGTATAAAAAAGTATTTTGATCACAATATCAAAGATATAAATTCATATATGTATATTAATTTAAAGTAAGATTGTATGTAATACTTACACATTTTTTCTGCTGATTTTTAATATTTAAATTTTTTTTAGCCTCTTCAGTTTTGCAATGTTTAGAAGATTGCACTTGTTTAAAGTATAATTCATTTTGCTTTGCAAAAGTATTACACCAGCTTTTATCCTTGCTATCTGTAGATCTTTTCTTCTCAACTTTCTGTACAGAAATAAAATTTGCTGTGGGTGAAGTACGTTTCTGATCTTTCTTTCTATGTATTTTTGTTTTATTCATTCGTTCTACCGTAAGTTCTACAGCCTCATTTTGACCAAGTGCAATTACCTTAGAAGCCATTGCTAGATGCTGGTTAAAATAATAAAAATTTGTTCTTAAATATACAGTAAAAAAAATCGTAGAAGTATATAAACCATGCATTTGTATGTTTTTAAGACTGTACAAAAATACTAAAAACCAAAAATATTTATATAAATAATATGAATAGTTAAAATTTTTTAAAACAAATTTCAATTATAAAATTATAAGACTGTATGTATTGGATTAGATTCAAATTTGTCATTATCATACATTCAGTTTTCGTTAAGGTCATGCTATACAACATCCTGAAATGTATGATAATGACAAATTTGAATGTAATCCAATATATACGTTAGATTTCTTAATGAAAAAGTTAAAAGATTTAGTGAGAAAAGAAAAAAAAAAGCCTATGAAATCTCTAACAAAATAGAATCATAACCTATCAACCTACCTATCCTACCTACTCGACCCTAAACTAAGACAAATTGTTTACGCTACATATAAACTGTAACGACATCTGTATTTGGAAACATTGGTCATGAATATATATAGAGAGGACGAGAGAAAGAAGAGAAGGGAAAACTCTAGTTACATTTCTATCCCTAGAAAATGCATTTGCTTATTGGATACCGGTAGATATATTGGACAAAAAATGCGTGCAAATTTTCCAATGTTTGTGAATTAGTTGTAAATCGTCAACAATTCGCGAACAAAGATAACAAGGCTGAAGTATCTAGCGTTCGTTAATTAATGATAAAAAGTACGATTATTTTACGGTACGGAAGCTGTAGAGAATCGTGTGTATCGTCTCACGCGCGTGACAACGCAATGCTCCGGCTACGGTGCTTCGGCGATACGTGATCACGAAGCCGCACGTCGATTCGAAAGACAGTATTTGAGTTGACATCCGTAGTGCGTGGCTCTTATTTCGTTCTTGTAAACATGGTGTTTGGATTTATGGAAATAATTGTTTTTTTCTATAAGATCGACTTGAGTGCAAGCGGGAACGGATTTTGCGTATAATACAGTGATTGCACGACGTTCACTTTTTCCTAAAATTGCAGTATCATGTGATTTTCGGCGGGACATCAAAAGTATGGGCACATCTCTGTTAGACGGTAAGCTTGCTGCATTCTGCCATTAGGTCGCATTGTAAGTTTCATCTTTCGAAAATATCGTTTGGGAATTAGCGAGATTATCGAGTATTCTTATCGATACTGCCGCGCCGTTTATTCGTCTCGCGGTAACACCGAATGAGTTTACTGGTATCACGTTTTTATTATAAATTTATCAAGAGTTATATAAATTTTTATTATTAAATTTCCACATCTCTTATAATAATTATTTTGCATTTGAGAAGATCGTTGGAATCGTTATTATTATAAGAATTGTTAGATAAGAGATTGATGTTCGCGGGCATTTCTAATGAATGTCATTGAATTGTTAGGTTAGGTTAATTAGTTTTTATGAAAACACACATACATATTACAAATTTATCACGAAATTATTTTCTTGCGAAACAGGAGACTGTACAATTTAATAAGCCTGGAGTAATCTTGATACTTTACCATGGAACAATCCGATATACCGCAAGTGCTGGTTCTTAAAATTGAAGAAGTACCTGCAGATATAAATATACAAACGACTCAAATCACTAATCAAGATGTCGAAACTGTTTCTGTTATAGAAGATAATCAAGATTTGCCAAATGCGTATAAGCTACCAGAGGAATCTATGGTAGATAATGTTAATATTAATGTAGAAACTGTATCTGAAGAATACATGGATACAAGTCAAGTGGATGTATCCACTAAAGAAATTGATGGCAATGAAAATGATGTAGCAAATCCTAAGTTAAGCGAGCCAGAAATGGAAGTTTGCACATCAGAAGAGGAAAGGATTAACATCTATGAACAGACAAAAGATGAGATAATGGATTTTAAACCACAATATCTGTCCAGCGAGGAAGACCAAAGTTCAAATGTGATAACCGAATCTAAAGTAATAGAAGTAAACAAGGAAGCAACAGATGTAGAAAGTGGATGTAATGTAATAGAAAATGCAAATCAATCCGATACTGTACATAGACAGTGTTCGACATTAGACAAGGCTAGACTTAGCGAAAATTCTGAGGACCAGATTCATGAATCTCATGAATCAGTTAAGGAGATAATCAAGGAAATACATGATAACGACAGCAACCAAAATAACTCGATAATAACGGATGCTGAACTGACCAAATTAGTACAAGAAGATGGAGAAGTAATTGTAGTCGTGGAAACTATACCAATTACAACGGATGCAGCAGCGGATAATTATATTGTCTTAGACGAGAAGGAGGCTAGTAAATGCAGCCAGGAAAATATAGTTACCTTGCAGGAAGAAAGAATTGTGGAGACCAATCATGGAGAGAATGAGATTAATCTAATTGATTACAGTCAAGAAAGTGAAGGTACTATAATAGAAGTGACGGAAGTTATAGATGCTACTGAACAGTGCGAGCAGCAGGATAATAAAGAATGTATAGAAAATAGTAAATATGATACCGAACTTGAAAATGTAACTGAAATTGCAATCGAAAGTGTGAGGGATGAAAATATTGAGCCAAATGCGACTGATAGCAAAACTTTGGTCAGTTCTGCCAGTAAAGAGGATAATGTTACTATTATAATAGATAAGAAAATTACAAACACAGAGGATGCTGATTCTGAAGTTAAGACGGATATTTCCCAGAATGAAAATATACATAAGAAAGCTATTAAAGAGATCACTGAACACAAACAAGAGGATACACTTGCTCACAAGACTTTAACAGTGGATTCGAAGAAGAAAAGGAGCGTTATTCAAGATATTTTTGACGATTGGGACGTTGAAAATGCAGAAGAAGACGTGCAATCAACTTCAAAAATTGATCATGATTCCGTAGAAATCGAATTAAAAAGTTTAATGGACGAAACAAAAGTAAATCAGACTGTTACGAATAAAGCGGCTCCAAGTCTTCAAGAAAAAATTTCTACAAATAAAGAATATGCAGATGGGATACGTGACACAAGCGAGAAGAAGACAACGAAACAGTCGACTGAACAAACGGAAAATCAAAAGAAAAGCAAGGTGACTAAGGGAGAGTCAGCATCTTTAAAAAAAGCGAGTAAGATTTCATCCATGGCAAATCTTTACGAAGTTTGGAAACCGTGCATTTAATACAACGCCACAATCGCAAACCGCAGTTCCTAAAATCGTTCCCGGCATTTAACAAGTCAAATAGCATCCCCGGCCGAAGTGACGGAAGTGTTAAAGGAGCGCCTTCGTGAGAAGCAGAAGACCATCGTGGATGCACCGCGTGGACCAGACATATTTTTTGTGAAGAAATTAACGCAAAGATTGTCCAGTAAATTGGCGGGCAGCCCGGTTAACGCCGGGATACCCGGACTCATACCATTGCCGCAGCAAGCCATCTCTTCTGTTCCACCCTCATCCGCGCAATCGGCGATGGATAACTGTGATAAAAAGGCAACGGAAACGAGCAAGGATAGCAATTCCGACAACAAAGAATTGCTGGCCATTTTAGAAGGCGATGGTGATCCTGATTGGTCCATTTTGAAGCCACCGACACTCACAGAGGAAAACAAGAGTCCGTCGAACGTAGAACACATCGATCACAGCAATCCGCCGAAACTCGATCCGTTAGTCGAACGGGAATTGGCACTGAAGCAACTCCTCGAGCTGCCCGTGGCGCCGTCCAAGAAGACCGCATCGCGGAAGAAGAAAACATTCCGACCGACACCTAGCAAAATGTCCAAAGATACTATTGCGAAAAGTCCGCATGCTACGCAGGAGCAAAAGGATGTCAATGTGGATCTAGCGAGCGAAAATGCGCAACCAAACGCAAAATCTGTTGAGATCGATCTGAGTTCGCCGCGAAAGAACGATCAACAGGATCAGGAGGGCACACGAGTAGAAGAGTCGAGATCGGGTAGGAAACGCAAACCCACCGAGAAAGCGCGAGAGCACGAGCAGAACACGATAAAAAGGCAGAAGGTGTACAGAGGTAAAGTCTCAATAAACAAGAAACAAACGCAAGAAAATAATTCCGTCTCTGACGATAGCTTGACCATCAAAAATCATGTTACAGCGAATGACCCGCCAGAAGCCGATGTAAACAATGAAAAGGCCACCACGAAAGAAGAAACAAGTAAACAGCTCGAAGACAAGGCAGATTCGAAAAAGGGCGAGAATTCTCCCTCGAAACAGCCGAGACAGAGTCTTCCTAAGAGAGGATCGCAACCGATCGCCGAGAGAAAAATTGTAGTCAAAAGATTGCTGCGCCAGAAGATGGATACCAGTAAGAAGCCTGTTCAGTTAAAAGCAAAGATATCTCCGTCGAAAAAGGCATCGCCGAAAGCAGTCTCGAAAGCGTCGCCAAAGCGTTCAGTCGAAAGTACGTCCAGCGACGTGAAACACAAGAAGAAGGGTAAAAACGAGATAGACAGATTGCTGCAGGACGAGGGGGTTGTCAATTTACTGTATGATGTGGAGCATCAGGACAAGAGGCGCTTGGTACCGATCACAAAATCGCGAGTGAAGGTGATGGACTTGCAGAAGGTGCAGCGTGAACTAAAAATTCGGAAAAAATTGGTCCGTAACGCCGTGCTGCGACTGCGTACGTCGACAACGCCGACTGTCACGAAGGTGTTACCGAGATCGAAGAGAAAGTTGGTCCATACGAACGACTCGCCGGCGGAGAAGAAGCCAGGAGAGCAGACCTCGTCGCCGAAAGCTTCAAATACCGCTGCCCAGCCCGCTGAATTTATACTTCCAGCAAAAATTAGAAATGCCGCTGACGCGTCTATCATTATTAGGAGGCACTCGTCAAGCTCATTCTCTAGTGCTTCTGGAAGTCCTAGAGTCAGTGTGGATGAGAAACCTGCGGAGGCCGCCAAGTCGAGCGACGGAACAGTTCATTCTTTGAGATCTGCCAAGAGAAGACGAGATTCTCAAGATGAGAAAATGAATAACGCAAAGAAGACTAAGAAGAAAAAGTCTGACGCTGATGTTGCCGCTGCTAACACTGGTGTTAATACTAGTACCAGCACTTCCGCTTCTAGTACCACCACTGCTAGCACTGCTTCTGCTAACAATACGGACGAAAAGATTAATGTAGCTGCACGTGTCGGTAGAAAAGCGGAAATAAAAAAAGTTGACAAAGCTATTAAGCAACAGGATACCGCCACATCCGAGGAGAACGTCTCGAGTAAAGTTACGACCAGGTCGTCGAATGGCGCGGTAATGCCAGGGAAAGTGACGCCGAAGAGCAAAAAGGCCACGAAGAGCAAAGTGACTTTCGCCAAAACCGGTGAACATCTCGATAACACCGAGGATTCTTCTAAAGAGGAGGATGAATTGTCCGCTTGTCTTGCTGAAGCAGCCACCGCTCTTTCGGTCGCCAATCCTGGTCGCTCTGGAAACATTACGCGCAAGAACAAAGGTAAAGATATATGTTTTTTTCGATATTTTATTGCATTCAACAATTTTTGTTCATTTTTTGATTTTTGATTAATCGCGACAACACAATCCGCGCACTAAATATAACATGATGTTTCAGTACATCCAAGTACCGTGAAAACGCCAAGTTCAGAGAGCAACAAGACGAAAGCGGATACGCAGAGTCAATTCAGTAATAAGGAAATAAATGTGCGCCGGCACGGTAATCTTGTACAATTAATACTTACGCCATCCTCTTCAACCAAGATAAGAAACGCGCTCACACTGCAAGTAAGTAATTTTACTCTTGTGCTTAGATATCTTTGTGAATCGCTAAATGTATTTACAATGCTTTTAGGTGATGCAGGAGTTTAGAGACGCTCTGTCGATATTGAAGAGAGACGACGAGTGTAGAGTGGTACTGTTAACTTCTACAGGTACAAGTTTCTGCGAAGGTCTCGATCTTTCGATGCTGTTGCATACGAATAAGGAGGAACGACGTGCCGTCGCTCAAGAGTTGGCGCACGCCGTCAAGTACGCATTTTTTCCGTACCAACGTGATCACTGGTATTACAGTTCGTCGAAACTTTTACTTTTCTTTTCAGGGACTTCATCAAAAGTTTGGCCACTTTTAACAAACCCATCGTAGCTGGTGTGCAAGGGGCTGCAATTGGACTTGGAGTGACCATGTTACCGCTTTTTGACCTCGTAATTGCTAGCGATAAAGCTACATTCTGCACTCCCTACGGGAAATTAGGACAAATTGCTGAAGGAGCTGCGGTCTTCACCCTTTCGCACATATTAGGCAGTGCTATCGTAAGTATTGAGCAGCCTCGTAGCGTAACAATAATAGGAGAAATAACATACTTATACGCTTCGACAGACGTGCGAACTTCTTTTGGGTGGAAGAACTTTAACAGCGAGTGAGGCGTTAAGAGCTGGTCTTGTCACCAGAGTTTTATGGCCTGATCGGTTTCAAGTGGAGCTGTTACCGTCGTTGCGGGCTATGAGCGATCAATCATCACAGGTGAGTTACGTTTTTTTTAATATTTAATAACTTTTGAAATATGTATTTAATCATATACATTAACAAGAATTGAATTCCCGTATTGTAAAGTCTTGTATTATGAGCTGCATATAAGATAAAATTCTCTTTTTGCATTACTTTTTTGTTTGTCACGTAGGATAGAATGAAAATGTACGTCGATTGAAACAATTTCGAATTTCATTTTGCGTACGCATGGTTTGAGAATTTCACAATACGATAATTGTTTGGTTCCGAGGACTTTACAGTGCGAAAATTCAACTACACATTTAACAGCTTTTCTCAGAGTCGTTAAATTATGATTTAATAGCTTTGTATCTTTATGAATGATAACAGTAAGCCATATAAGCAGGCCCAGAATAGAGCAATTCCTGCACGTTTACCAAAGTTTTATCCTTGAAAACGCATAAATGCTTCTGCGGGCATGTGCACCTGTAATATGCTGAATATAAATCAGCTCGTATGTAGCCGCAAAACTCCAGAGTCTCGCACATTCTTTTCTGCATTGAAAAGTATACATTCGATAAATAGCGTATGCGTATAAATCAAAGAATGTTATCAATCTACAAGATGTACCTTGACACACTTGAATACTTGAACGAGACCGTGCTCTTCGTACGTGTATTTTTGCAGCTTCCAGTAATGCGTTTGCGGACAAATGCAGTTTATTGTCACGTTATACGGTATTATGTAGTTGTTACTCGCATCGCTTTCTCCGTGGACTATTACCGCCTTTTGCTTGTGCGCGCACGTATCGAGACGTTCCACTATTTCCGTGCAAAACTGTCGAGAAACGTGACCGTCTGAAAAATGTTAAAAAAACCAAGAGATCCTTTCAATATTAATCGGTACCTTTAGAACTGATCTGTTATTGAGCAACACAGTTGAGTTGTCAAAGATTTTCGTCCATTGCCACGGACACTCCCTTCCTTCAGGGCACTGACAGAGCCTCTCCGTCAAAGTGGTCATCCAAAACCGGTCGTGAACCACGCCGCACACCTCGTGAGCTTTACAGTGATGTAAATCGCTCTCCCCTTCAACCTGTTTCGATGAATTCAACAGAGATCTGTCATGCTGTCGTGAAAATTATTTAGCATTTACGCGGTATAATTATACGTATACGAACTCCCTTCATATACTTAAACGTAACGTTGCTGGCCTTGCTGCTGATTTTTGTATACACGCCGGCAGTCACGCTTATCGTCGTAATAAAGAAGCAGATTTTGACGAACATATTTGCAATTGTGTGTACACTTGGTTGCGCTAGATTCGACTAGATTGATATTAGCGCGAGTGACGATGATGCTAATACATTCCCGATTCCACGTTTGCTCCCACATGACTCGTAATTGCGAAACTTGTTAATATTCATGACGTTATATTGTCATCTTTACTTTGCTCGTGAGATGCAAAGATGTTGCAGCACGTTAATAGATAACTGTTGAAAAAATATCAATTATTTTTGCAACATATGTTAACAAATATAAACACGTATCTAACAAGGAAAACGTTTATATAATATATAATTTAAACGTTTACATAAGTATATTTGCATTGTACAATTGCTGTTTTATCATGTCTCAACCGTTTCGTGTATTTTTTACAAAAATTTATTTTCAGTCCATGGAGGCGACGAAGGCTCTATTACGTCACAGTCTGCGGAAAAAATTAGACGCCGCACTCGAGTCAGAAACATACTTACTGATTCAGCATTGGTGTTCCGCAGATTGCCAGAATGCTATAAAAGCTTATATTGATGGAAAAATTCAATAAACAATGGTAAGTATTTTTTTTTGTTTTTTTAAACATGATTCATTGATTTATTGTAATTACTTATTGCGAACGTTAATTGCAGTGCAAGTACTACTGATTATTTGTGACTATGCAATCTACACTTAAGGAACTTGGAAGTGTCGATTTGTGAATAAGGATACGGACCTGATATCATAAAACTTGTGTTTCTGATGTGACATTCTATATATGTCAATACACGATATTCTAGATATAAGATATAAATATGAATCATTTAAAAAGATGGACTATTTTACTATTATAGGTCGTTAGGTATACATTGAAAGTATATGTGTATATTTATTTATATACATATATATATATTTATATAAATGCAAAATTAATGCAATTTATGAAGACTTAATATAAATATATATATATGTATGTACACATACACATATGCACATCTACATAACATACATTTTTCTGCATTATGTTATTACTGTTAGACTAAAATAAAGATACATATGTAATGAGAATCATAGTGCAACTTATATTTCTGTTCAAATTTATCGTGCGAATTTCGAAATTACTTTCAAAATGTTTTGATAATTGTTTATAATAGAAGTTTGAATTATATATCAGCATACTTCGTACCATAGATGTCAAAACAATTAATTTTCCTCCGTGTAGAATAACATTTGTATGTGACATTTTTGCAAAATTGACTAGTATTTACTCGAAAAAATGGCAGTGCCAGTGATGCCGTGCACGTACGAGTTCTCCAAAGGCCATGGCACCGGCGTGGCGGAAGCACTTGGAAATTGGGGCTTTTCCAATCGAGTATGCAACTCTGGTCAAGAGCTGCAGCGTTTGAAGTGTCTTTTCGCAGAAATGGACTCTTTGTGAGGCATAGAGCATGCATTTCGTTTCAATAAACTATAAATAATCGTCGATCTTACAGAAAAATTCACCGACTAACGTTAAGATAAAAAAAGAAATAAGGGAAATGCGTTAATTAATTCTAGACGCAGTCAAGATAAAAATACAATAAAATGTGTTAAGTACAATCCGAGATACGATCCTAACACCTGGTATATTAAGCCCACTCCCGATGAATGTAAGCCGGCATGGACGTTTCCCGTGAAGAGACCATTGATTACTTATTCCTCAACTGCCACAACTATGAAGGTCTCGAATTTAAACGACATTGGATCAGAAATAACGCACGTTATACCTGGCCGCAACTACGTTCATCAAGGTGTACGTACATATCTTTTTGAATGAATTTCATTGTTTCATTAATGCGAGCCTCTCAGCGAAGCTTTATCATGAATCTATTAGATAATAATACTGAAAATAAGTGAGACAGTTAAGACGATCACTTAAAATAATTTCCAAACTATGCGTTGCATAAAAAATTGTATATAAAAGTTGTATAAGATAATTTTTTTATTAGATTTTTAATTATAAATACTGCCTACACAATTATACGATTTACTTCCAGACAACTAAATGGTACCGCCGAGGTCCAGACTGTTGCTATCAACCTAGCTGTTTAGCCCCACAATGCCCTGTGCCATATTGTTATAAAATTTGTTAATTTTAATAGTTAATAACAATTATTTGTTATATATAAAATCAATTTTATTCGAATAGAGGCTACGAGAAATTAGTTTCAGCTTTCTAAAAATATAAATTTCTTACTCGTAGAAATTAATAAATATAACAATTTATACAAAGCACTTAAAAAAATCATGTGTCTTTGCACATGAAAGAAAACATAAGGACATAAGTAATGGAGCAATTAAAATATAAAACAATGATATCAGAGAGCGGTGAAGTTGTTCAATTTATTTCTCATTTTAACAAACACAGTGTCCCAAACTTTAGCGCGTTGTGTGAGAACAATTACATTATCGTACGGTGGGGCAAGTGACTTAATTGTTTGACACTGCAAGATTTTTCATTCTGCGCGTGATATTCCGGTGAATGAAACATCTCTAAACACTAGTTAGCATTACAACAATGTACACTAATTCGAATTCCTTAATTAGAAACCGATCTACAAATAGCAGTTTGTTAGATCCCTAAGTAAGGAGCTCTTGTGCTACCTTTGCGATGACATTGCAATATAAGAAAGCTTTTCGAGAGATTTTTATGTACAAGAAAAAATACAAAACTGAATCGAGTCATAGTACAATATAAATATGAAAACTGTAAGAATGACGTACGACTTAACGCGAGTCAGTAAAATATATGTTATGCGAGTTATTAAAAATATACTTACAATATCTTAAGCAAGTATAATATACACATCGTAATGTATAAATTAAGACTAGATAGAATATCGGAGAACCTTATCTACTGCTACAGCCAATAATCGAGTATGACCAACTTATAAGCTAGTTGCCTTAATGCAATAACATGCGGCACAATAACGGCTGAAAAAGCGTACTGGCAAGAAGAAGAGAGCACATTGTATTCTGCTGACAACCCTTTCACTTTTATTTTCGACATGTCCTGTCTTAAGTCGGACATAACACTGAAATTAGAAGAGCAACCTTGTAAGTATCTCTTACCAAAAACTAGCAACGTTTATCATATTTTTCAATTGAAAAATTATTAAGATTTTTATAGTGAATAAAGGATGTAATAAAATTGCCAAAAATATTTAATTACCTTTGAGTATGTAATCCGTTAGCAAAGTAGGTACTGTTGGGCTATCGTCGCTGATGGCTTTTAATACTACAAATATAAATGCATTATTATATATATATATATATATATATTCAAATTCATAAGAATTCATAAATATTAATACCTACTTTTGATAAGTACTTGCAAAGCTTGATTGTCTGGCGGGCCACTATCTGTATGATATGGAATTACAGTCGTCAGGTACTGCAACGAGAATGAAAATCATGTCGTTATTCTTTCTGAATGTTGTGAATTATAATTAAATTATTATATTTTGCAATTCGTTCTTACCTTCGGCTCCTGCAAAGATCTATGCTGCGGCAACGGACTAGTACCATTCTGCATTTGATTTCTCTTCTTCGTAACGTGATGCTGTCTGCGCCGATTTTGCACGGCCAACAGTAAAGAAATGAACTGATTCTTCAACTCCTTTTCGAATTCTAATTCGTCCCTGAGCGCAAGCTCGGCGATCAGTGTTTCGCTCAAGGCTGCGACCAAGGATTCCATCTCTCCGAAAAGTTCAGTCAGTTGGCTGGACGAAAGCTGCTTCAATTCTGAAAATACAACATTAGAATCAGATTTTTTGTATCGAAGATTAATATGTTTATATTCATTATTGATATTTTAAATTAAATACATTTTATTTATTATGATATTATTAATATTTTAATATAAATATTGCAAAACGTACTCTTCTCGTGCAGTGGTGATCCAAGTACCTCCCTACTTCTCTCTAAAGCCTCATCGCTATCTAACAGGGAACCCTCTGAATCCGGCGATCTTTCCATTGACGGACTTTCCTACAGCGATGGTGAGATAAAAAATATTAATTGCTTCCTTAGCTGCTACTAGCTTAATAATATTTCGCTGCTCCGAAATTACCTGCATTATGTCATCTATCTCGCGGAGAACTTCCTCGGCAGTCTTCAGCGGTTCCTCAGGACTGTGGGTATCGGTGCTGCTGGATAATATTAAAGCATGCATGTCCAGATCTGTCGCAACCGCCTCATCTTCGCTACTTAAATCCTCTAGTTCGGGTCTACAGCGAACAAAAACGAAAGCGTTGTATTTACGAGCGCGTTAACATTAATCTATAGAAGCGAAGTTAATCCACAGTCGACTGTTTTAAAACCTGGCTTTTAAAATGTGTAGGCATTATAAATTTTTGACGAAAATAATTAAACAGGCGCGCAAAGCCGTAGCATATTCACCTTTCTGTCGAAGCGGGTGCTTCGTTCAGATTCAAAGCGGGCATGTGCATTTTCCTCGCGTAGGATTTGCTCCAGTCGATCGGTAATATATTTCCGAAAGTTCCCGTAATCGTCCACCACATCCTGCAAGAGAATTCAATTTTGAGGACATTGATAACAGAAAAGATCCTCTTACTGCCAGTCAAAGTTTAAATGCTCCGTTAATCTTAATAATCGCTTACATCACTTGGATTTGTATACGTAAGTAGATACGAAGTCTTCACAGTGACTCATATCCTCTAATATATACTATCCTTCACTTAAGAAAACCAACGCGCTTAAATTCGTGTGTCATCGATTTTTTTGCTCATTGCTGAGCGATTCAATTCAGAGGATTATCGCATTTTTCTGTCTTTAGTAAACAAAAAAAAAAAAAAAAAATTTTTTGAAGAATGTAGAATGTTACTTTCTTGCAATAAAAGCAAACACACGCAATTTTCTAAAAGTATGCAAAAAAAAATAATTTTTGACTATTAGCTACGAATAATCTTAATTGATTTGTTAATTAGGGTATTGTGCAATGTTATCAATTACCTAAAATGTTAATAGATGTGGCAGATTGAGAGCAAATTTGATCTACTAATTGCTAACATTTTTGCTTATCACCAGTGAATCATTAACGAGATTATTTCAGAATAGTCTTTTTATAGCTTCCTTCCGTATTTTTATTCCCATTCCTTTATTTTAATTTCTAAATACACATACGACGTGTAAAGAAAGCGATTGTAGAAATGTCACAACATTTCCGGCCCTATAAATATTATCGAGAAGACACGATAGAGATGTCGAGTAATTTTAGCACGAAGGACATCTCTTTATGAGATATTACAAGAGCGTGACGCTTAATGCGCGATCAATAAATGCAGATGTTCCTACGAGAATGATATAATGTCGTGGTATTATTAAAACGCACACATAGAGCATGTACATATATTCCGCAATTTTGAAAGGCACATTAAGGGCACCCTGTATATAACTGATGAGAGAGAGAAAGAGACAGACTTCCCATGGCGCGACTGCGTCTTTTAACGCCACATGTTTGTCATTCGTACAATTCCCGTGGGAGCATCTTCATTTAGCATACACTCGGGACACCTCCTATACAGCTGATGGGAGAGCACGACAGACTTTCCGCGAAGTCTCCGTCTTTCTAGGACGCATGAATCATTAAAGGCTGTGGGCGTTTCCTGCGTACACATACGCACCGCATAGATAAGGCGTTTAATCAAGTGCAAACAAAATGCAAGTCAACGACGCTGCCGCCGGCTATCTACCGTTTTCTGGAGGAAGTGATTTTTCATGCGAAGAACGCCCATAACACCGGAACGGAGGCTTCTCGCGCCGTGAAATTACGAACAATATATCGTGGGAGTCGACGTGAAATGACTGCATGGTATAATGTTCGTAGGAACTGAAATATCAATCTCTCATTAATCTTTGCGCTTTTTTTTTCATAAACATGAATCTAATCTTTTCACACCTGATGGAAGATACAAACCGTGCGTTTTGAAAGTTTTTTTTTAAATATTCTTAAAAATAAAAAATTTGAAATATTAATTATTCCGGAAAATAGGTTTGTTAACTTAAAATATTTGAGTTTTATAAATCGTTCTCAATTTTTTTATAGAATGTTTATCTATGATCGATAAAGAAATTGTGATTTCTTGTTTTTGTATTTTATTATTCAACTTTTTCTAAAAGTGCCAAAATTATTTATTACATATCATTTTTTTTTCTTAAATTCTAAATAAGTGTATATGTAAATAAAAAATTAATAATACGATGAAAATAAATAATATGACAAAAAGCTATGTCGTTTTGAAAGACTAAGCCTTTGACCCAAAAGATTAAACTAATTGAAGTCCGCATGCATATGTATGCGCAGAAAAAGAAAAATGATTACGACGGATATCAGTGAGAGCCAACGCATTGATCGGCCATTTGATGTCGTGGGTTAATAAATCGAGGTCAACTCAGTCCACTCGAGTTTCTGATTAATATAAAGTGCCTTCATCTCCAGCGCACACATTGTTCGCGTCGAAGAGCCAGACGTATGGTATGTGAAGCCTTAATCAAGCTAATTTTTGAACAAATTCTGTTTTTTACTTAAAAGAATGGTTTGATTTGTCGTGCAAATAAATAGATAAATTGAAATAGATTAAAAGCATTTGTTTTCACAAAAAGAAGTAGTAGTATTCAACATCACCAGCAGATATAAGTATACACAAAAGTTAAAAAATATTTTAAGCACTTTAAGCGCTTCAAAGAAATGTTAACTTACATATTTTAATTTTGCGTAAGAAAATTAATTTTTTAATTTATCCGTCACTTATAAAAATATCACGAGATTGCATAATTTTACACAAGCATTTTCTATCAATTTTTAAAATCCGCATACGAAACTCGTATGATGAAAAAACTCATAGTTCTACATTTTAATACAGAGTTATAAATTCTTTAATTAAAATAAGACGACTCTTCTTCCATATAGTTTCTGTATAAATTCACCTCTCTGGGGAGCACAGTTAGATGGTTGTCGCTATCTGAAGCGCGTGCGCGCCGATATTGACGTTCGCCCTCTGTTTGGAGGGTGGTATTGCTCGATACGAACGAAGGAACAAAACAGAGATTAAATTTTCATGTCACGCGTCTGAAATGTATCAAAACATTATCAAAAAGAAACAATTTATTTGTCAGATGCTTTTATATCAGATATTAAAAGTTTAATAAGCTGCTTTGAAAAAGAAAAAAGTTAAAATTGGAGAAATAATTCAATATTCAGAAAAATATTGACGTATATTAGTCACAGAATAATAAATGCGTATTAGATCTGTTATTATTTGCACAAAATATAATATTATATAACTAAAAAGTAATTGATTAACACCTTCTCGTTTTGTAACTTTTCGAGTTTCTCCCTCGAAATTTCAGAATAATTCACAGCAAAGCTGAATGTAATTATTAAATGCAGATTGTTTACTATTCCAAATCCGTGCAATGAATATCTAAAAGCGATACCGCGCAGTAGAAAGTGTCGTATAAACCAAAGAATAAGAATATTGACCTTCGTTCGATACATATTTCCGGTGCGGCCGGTATCTGGGATATCGCGCTTATATTAGCCGCGCGCTAGAAAGTGCGGTCGGAAGATTACGTGGAAACTGCGTATAAACGCGTTGGATCGCAACGGACGGACAGCGTAATACGCGATGCATGGCTGCGGAATGCATACGGTTTGCGAACGCGTGCAGTCGCATCGCCACGACAGCTTTGTCGCAATCGCGGGTCGATGACCTCATTAGTCACCGGAATAGAGGACGTGCCATTTGGGCTGCGATCGCTACCCTCTCTTATAGCGAGTACCCTTTAATAATGCCACATGTAAATTGCCGCCAATCGATGACACATTTGAATCTGCCATTTCAGAGAAACTATGAATCATAGAAGACAGACTCGAGGGAAAGATAAATCCAGCAGTTATCGCCAAACAGTTGTGATAAGTAGAATATAGTAGAGAGAGAGAAAGAGAGAGAGAGATATATATTGCAATAGAAATAGCTATAGAGTATAATTGTAATAGTAGTAGTATATTAATTCATTTTTATGAATTATAATTTCCTAAAAGATTCACTGAAGTTGTTATCTTTTCAGTATTCTTTCAAAAAATAACTTAAATGAGAAATTGTAAGTTTCTTTAATGCCCATTTCCACCAATGTAGATTAACTTTAATCTCGGTTCAACTTACTCTTCATCTTTTTCTAGTTCTAAGAATTAGAAAAAGGTGAAGAGTAAGTTGAACCGAGATTAAAGTTAATCTACGTTGATGGAATCGGGCATAATAGTTGATACATATTTTTAAAATATCTTCTCGTAGTTAAGTTATATTATCAATAAGCAACAAAAATAGCGTATTGGCATTTTTTTTAAATCCCGTGAAATCGTCCGCATCGGTAGAGAAAAATCATTCTTTATCTGCATAAGAAATTAATAAACCGATCAAAAACCGCATAATAACATTCGCCGCATAACAGCGAATGATGAGGTCCCAATGTAAATTTAACGGCTTTGTGCGTGGCTGCGCGCAAAAGAAGAGACAATTTCGCGCTTCGTTGAATTTCACCTGCTGCCGCTCGGTTATGCTTGTTGGGACATGCAGCCTTGCCTTGTTCGTGAGCGTGTTGCGACTGTAATTTACACCCTGCGACGAAAATATTTGCCAGGGTCGTCCGCCGTAGTGTAAACCTTTGACCCTCCGCGTCGGCCGAAAATCCGTAAAATGGTCTACGAGCGTCGAAACGCCGGACGAAATATGTCGCAAAAAATATTTAACGCCGTGATTTTTGTCATTTCTCGATTTATTTATGGAATTTTGCTGACGCCTCGGCATTGCTAGAAATAAAATTTGATCGTGGTGAATAAAAATCGTTTCCCGATCGTTTTGGAAATTTCGGTTGCATCGAGCGAATTATATCATGCCTGAGTAAATCTCTGGTCAAACTTGAATCTAATACTTGAGACACGCCTGCGTCAGCATGTTTGGCGAGATGTCCGACAAGGTTGCTGTGAAAGACCTTGTCTCGCATTTACATAATCTGTTGCTAAAACCAGTCGGCGAACTAGAAAACCAACAGTAATTAAGAGATACCGATCGATCTCGATGATAATTAGACTAGAGGAAACGTTGATATACGGCGCTTTTAGGCGACTAATCGTCGCATTTAAACGCCCTCTCACATAACGCGGAGTGGCTACTTCGGAGAGAAAGCTGCGAAGCGTGTTGTAAACATCGCGTAGAGAGCATTAACGGTGCCGACACACTTCTTCACCGGTGAATCGATCGCTGGCTTCGGGTGGGTCGTGAACACACGAAGAAACTATTTTCTCTCCCCATTTTATTCCTCCTTTTTTTTTTAGATACGCTCGACACGAAAAGGAGAAATTGATACTCGATATTGTACGCGCGCAGTGAAGTTGAATTCAACCATCGTCGAGACGATTTCAAAAATTTTGTATCCAACACGCGAACGAGTCTCGCAACTACACGCTTTGATTGCTATCAATCGAAAGCTGATACCTAATGGGATTGTAGCGTGCGCGCGCGCGCTCGCCGCAGGAGCGCATTAAACGGAGCACTGGGCGAAACCGCTGACGCGTTTTGCGGAAAGAAAGAAACAAGAGCGGCGAGACGTCTGCGAGAGAGGTGATCAAGATGCGGGATAGATTACACGTGGAACTGCATTATTCCGCGTGTGCATAGGGAATACCCGGTGTCCGTTATTGCGCGTCACGTATTACGCGTATTACGGCCGGGGGTAACGGTAATGCGATAAGTGATTATTTCCGCGGCGGCAATCACCACTTTCGGACTCGGGCTGCCGCGCGAGAAAACCCGAGAGTCCGAGTAAAAGGTAAACTTCAACCGCGGCGTACGTATACACGCCGGTTTACCTGGCAATTTTCAGGCGAGCGAGCGTGCGTGCCCGCTCTCGTCGCCGATACGTCGTGATTTATTTTCCGCCGATCGCCGGGGAAACCGGTATACCGGGTAACCGCGTTCTCGTTACGAGCACCGCCGGCCGTGCACGCGCGCACCGGGACTTTGCGACTGTTTATAAGTAGGGTTAATGAGGGTTAATTAAGGTAATTGCGGTAATTACGCGAACGCGCGCGATAGTGTGCTTTTCATCGCGAGAGCAACAATCGCGATAAAGTCGCTAGAAATTATTATTATCATTCGCATCTATTTTGAATTTAATATATCGTTAATTTATTTTCAATTTAATTAAATTACTAGGGTGTGTATTAATTATAATTGGATAACTTACTGGCACTCGTTCATGATCTCTTCTTGCGTTCGCACTTGCACCGGGGCCAGCGACTCCACGTCGGTGCCATAATCGCGGAAACAGGACGTGATCTTTTCATCGAAAGTATTGACGAGGTCCTCGAGGCTGCCGCTGAACGGACTAAACGTTCCTTCCTGGAGGATATCGGTGCCATTCTCGTGCGTCGTCGGTGGCTCGTTCGCGTTGCAATTCTCGCCGAAACTCGCGTCCAGGCTGGCGTCCAATAATTGTTCTACAACACGAGAAACGAGTCGTAAATAATTCTATCAACACGTTATATAAGAACGTGAGGCAAGACAATGTACAAGGTGTCTTACTCCAACTTCAGAGATTCGGAATTTTATATTATTACAAATTTTTCAAAATTTATATAATATCGTCAAATATATATATATAAATTCTCTCTCTTTTCAATTTTTTAATATAATTTACTTACTTTTTCATACATTTATTTAGATCTATAAACAAAGTAATCAACTTTTTCATACTGCTTAGATCGATGCTTCCACGTAACAAAAAAATACATTTCAATTAACATTGTTATTTACGTTAATACACATTAAATACTCAGTTAACAAAATTGTGCAAGAATACTTTTTGCATAATGTTGCATTGGAAGCAGAAACAATTTTGTTAAATATATTAATTAAATGCAAATAGTTTTTAACTTTAATATTAATTAAATCAGTAAGTACGTTTGTCCATTTGATCTGTGAGAGATATCGACATTGCGATAGGCCTCTTCGAAGTAAACATTGATCTAAATTTAATTCCTTTTGCGTGCCACATCGATATCGTCGAAACACAAAGATGAACCGAGGTCGCGACAACTGGCGACGCGATATCGAGCGTTATCGGACGTGACACCACTCGTCGTAGCTGTATAAAAGTATATTCCCTCGATACCATTTTCTCTTTGCATGAAAATTGATTCTGCGACACAACCAATGTAGACTGAAATTTCAACAAAATCGATAGGAAAAATTCTATTCTATATACATTTAAATTATAAACATTTTTATAAAAACTAAATTGCACAAATATAAAATAATAATAACAATTTGGTGTGCCATTAATGTAATTAAAAATAATTATAATTGAAAATCTCCTGTATTTTTTATAAAACAGTGATATCTAAAAAAATGGTTTATATTACAGTAATTAGAAAAAACACAAACAATCGATTAAATTGCGGCGAGAATTAATGAAGCCTGGCGCTGGTAGAATTGGCTCACTGCAGCGGAAAATTGAGGATATTGAGGGATAAATTGAGGGACAACTGTGTCGCTCTGTATTCGCGAATAAACACAGTCGCAACATAGTTCCGAGGAATTTAGAGGAATCTCTGCGTGAAGCTAACAGACGACGATTTCTCGGCTGCGCCAACGCGACCGAACGACGAAAATAAATACGTGCGCGAAGAAGTAAAGTCTCCGACAGGTCTAAGTTAGGTAAACCCGGGTTTTTCGCTTTCCCTTTTGTCCTGACTGCGACGCAGGTAGAAAACTTGAAATGCACTGAGCGCTAAGTGGCAATCGATCCCAAAATTCTCCCGGCCCAAGATTCGTTGCGTGAAACCATGAAACTCGTAACACCTGCCGACAACTGAGGAGTGTAACGGTGATCACGGTATATCTTTTTGCACACTTCAATCTATACTCGTAATACATGAAAAATAATCAGATTAAAAATTGATCAGAGAGTCTCCTTAAAATTAATTTAATCCGAGCTGCGGGAGCACCTTGTACAAGATTGCATCACTACGACAACTCGCCGCAGGCGAGATTTTCCAATAATCCAGTTCTTCAGCAAAGACCCAGATATACTTGCGATAAAATAAAATTTTTAGTAACTGATTAAAAAAATATTATACATTATTCATGTGGCCTCTTCGTAATCAGTGTCTTATCTTTCAAGTGCTATCGTATAAATGTCTACTTCCACCTCCCCCGCATATTTAGAAATTCCGATAGAATTTTTTGTCAAAGAAAATTTTAGAGTTTTTGGAGAATTTCGAAACTGAGATTCCGATGACTTCAAATGAGATCAATATGGTTTTACGCCAATTTGTTCGTGATTAATGAATCTCGAACAGCGCGTCGCCAATTTCGGAAAGGCTCTCTCGCGGGCGTCAACAACGAAGGTTTAAAGAGCCTTAACAGGCTGACGCGGTGCGGAATACAGCTTCTACAGCCACATTGTGCAATACCGGATGGCAAGGTGGTGTTTCGCACCTGTCAGGAGGTTCATGTTCTTCAGGCTGGCGGTGTCCTCCTCCTCGAAGCGGGCGAGGGGTGCCTCGAACTTCAACTCGGCGATCTTACCTGCCATGTCCCTCATTATCGAGCGTGAGGGAATACCGGGCGCGACGGGAGAGCTCGGCGTCGTAGCCGCCGTGTCGTTTCGCACTTCCGAGGCCGCGCCGACGCCTTTTTTCTCCACCGTTTATCCAACGAGATCCCGCGAACCGACGAGGTCGTGGTGACGGCGACGATACATGAAGGTGGAGTGACGGTGGACGCGCACACACCGCTCGGAACGCGCGCACGCAATAAACACCGTCGGCACACAACGCGGTCGAACCAACTGAAGTCGACTCGACGCGAAGGGGACTGCTGCTCCTCTTCCCTGCTCTTCGGTGGCCGTGGTGGTGGTGCTGGTGGTGGTGGCTCACGGTGGTGGAAGATGACCGCTGGTCGTCATGGCAACCGCTGGCTGAGCGTGCTGATGTCACGAATCATCTCAACTCAACCAGGGACGGTGAAGCTGCAGTGGCCCCATTCTCTCAGCTCGCATCTATGTATAGCCGTTCGTTAAGCGTCGCTCTAATGCTAATTAGATATTTGTCCCTCGCCATGGGCGTCACAGTGCTTCCAGCCGGCCCTGATCTCCCCTTGGTTGTTAAATTTGATATGATTCTACGCATTTCGCGGAAATAAAAAAACGGATCAATGCAGGTGTAGATTTTACTGCAATTTCGCAGTCTCTACTCGATCTGGTGATTGATCTTCTTTTAGAAAAGTTAAATAAAGGACTGAAAAAGACGATACAAATTGTTTTTCATTGAATTTGATTTTGCAAAACAAAGCTAGTTTTGATATGATTTTGGCTAGATTTTCTTTGTCACATATAAAATTGTGGTCCCAAAAAGGAACAGAAAGTCATTAAGCTATGCTCATTTAACATTAATAGAATTAATGAAACAAGAGAGACTAAAAATTCAGCCTTTTAATGAAAACCCTAATTTATGGTAAAAGTTAATATTTACAGATAAATTAAAAACTTGAATTTGCACCACTGACATTGCTGCAACTGAATTTTAATTGTACGGCATTGCGACACGTTTCGTCACTTGCCGGATAAGGCATGATTTTACGAAGCAGCAGGAGGTAGCAAGATTGAACATAAAAGGCGCTGTAACGATGCTGTACTAAATATTACTAGTTAATAAAATTATTATAAAATCTTTTGTTTTTACAAAACTACGATTTATGTAATATCTACTTTTTCCGCACATTTTGCCCATCTTTTGCTACATTAATTATGATTGAAGAAAATTATCTAACAAAATTTTCTCAGCGGATAATAATGTGGCAGTAGATAATATCTTCAACAGCTATAAACAGCAGTGGATACTGCCAGCGTATTTTCCTACGTTTCCATATACTGGTACACACGTTGCTGGATAAGATGGATTTATACCGATTACGTATATCGATGTCAAATATAAAAATAAAATATGAAAAATATAATTGACGAATTATTTCATTCGGTATACGTAAAAAAAATATTTCATTTAGACATTTCAGCTGAAATAAATTTAATATCACAACTGTTAAAGAGAAAATTAAAACAATTGCTTCGTTAAAATATAAAAAATTTTGTAATTGTAGTCGATTAAAAGAGCAGTTGCGTTTCAGAGACGCAGATAGATAATTTGGAGAAAAGTAATTAATGATTTTTATTAAAGCAATGCAATTATATAATTATTAATCAGTCATGATCGATACAATTCGGTCTTACAGACGATATTCATAAATCTTTGTGCATCGAAAAGAAATATTCAAGCAGAGTTCCCGCCTATCGAAGTGAGCCAATAAAAATTAATGCCAAGTAGCTCAAAAAAGTCGGATTGCATAAAGAATCAAGACAATTTGCATCTCGGAAGAACACGTGATCTGATTTTCATCCTTGACGAAGTGGTGTTTATTAGTAATCGTATGCTTCGCGATGCGTGTCGCGCAAGAAGGAGTTCATGAGTTATTACATCCTTCAACATTTTTATAATGCGTTATTAATCTCATGTATATTCTTGAAATTATTTATACGAGTAAAAAGTTGACTCCAGCGAACTACTCTCGTATTTTTCAGGAATTGAGTTCTAACCGTTTGATCTTTTTATTATTATATCGGAAAAATTCTCAATATCGCATATAAAAAGTGATTTGTCACATTGTGTAACGAGGAGCACGATTCGAACATGTGTGAGTGTGGGCGGACTGTGTGCAGAAAGAAAGACAACAAATGAGGGATTGTAGTCAGCCTTGGCATGGCACCTCGCGTAACATAAATTGCTTTGTCACCCCGGACGTTTTAATAAAAATGATAGAGGTGCTCTCTACACAGGAACTGATTAATCTCGGTGCTCCGATCGATCGATTCCACGATGTCGGAAAACGTCCTCTCATTTTATGCATATTAATATTAAAAGACGTGTTATCCCGTTCGTTCGAGAAATGCGCCGAGCGCTTGAGCGCCGCGTGCCATATTCTTGTTCGTTCACGTGACTTACTTTTTTCTTAATTGACTATGTCAATAAATTAAAATCGGTTTCCGCCGTAATCCATGCAGATTGCTATTAGAAAGGAAATTGAGTAACGTACATGAGTACAACATACAATTAATGAAAGAGACTTGCTTCTGTTCGCGCGTGTGGAATGATAGATAATTTCATTTCCAAAGAAGTAAAATACCCCGTAATTATTGCCATCTGTAATGCTAATCAATATCAATCGTTAACCGATTAACTTTCATACGTAATCTCGGAGCAAACATGATGTTCCAGGTATGCAAAGCTGGATTCTGTAATTCGTAACGGTCACTTTAAGTACTGTTTTATGTTTCAAAACAAACTTATAAATTATAGATTTGATCCACTCTATCATTGAGACTTTATTTAGCAATTAAACGTGCATCGAGAAATAAACGATTAAAAGCTAGAAAAAAAGCAGATAAACAACAAAGAAAAAATAACTTTGCATAATGTATTAGATTCTAAATTTATAATGTTCGTGTAGTCCGCACAGGCGCACTGCAATATTTTCTCTAAATACTATTTTTCTTCTATAACAGCTTTTATTTATAGAATCATAATTAATTGTAATTAATTATAATCCATCAACCATATCTTGATTATTCATCAAGCGTTAAATGCTTCCTCATTTTTCCCGTGGAACGTGGAAACTTGTCACGAACCTCCGCGGTATGAATAGTTACGAAACGTTGATTTGACGTAAAAAAAAAAATAATCGCTTATGACAAGATAGATATTTATTACCATTTACTTATCGTAATAAAATGAGAACGGTTGATAAATTGAACGATAAATATGCATGCCGATCTTGTAAGATGCGATAAAAATGGCTACGCAAGACATAAATGTCAAATGTATGTCATTAAATAATTTATTGACGTTAGTAATAATGATTTGGAATTTTTATACAAAGTGATTAAATATGATAATTATTTACCCATTACATTCATTACATACAAAACATACGTATGTATATTTGTACATTTCATATCTGTAACTGGATACTAATTAAATTTGCGTCGATATGTGATAGATTTGCATGTAATTATAAACATATGTACATATTTTACATGCTTGAATAAATTATATATTCATTAATATATAATTTTATTAATTAGTATAATTTCTCACTGTTCTCGAAATAATGACTTTTTTTCATAAAAATGCGTACAAGTATCAGCTGACAAAAAACAGAGTAAGAATTCAGCGATTATAAGTAATTATGTGCTTTAATATCGCTGAAATAAAAAATATTAAAATGTTAACATAATAAAGTGATCCAAGTTATATTGTAATCTTGAATATGAGGTTCATTAATTACTTGTATTATGCAAAATTATTGTAAATGTAATGTAACGACGGATATGTTCGTTTCACTCGTATTTTATGCATTTTATCGTCATGTGAATTTTATAGTTAATAAATCGGATAAAGTTTTCTTTGGGACGAATATACGCGTTTAAAGAATAAAAAAATTTGTTTCAAACATTTTTATTTAACGCTATTGATATAAATAGATAAATAATAACCTAAATAATAACCTATAAAGATCTAGAGATCTTGTGTACAATCTGTAAGTTGTTTCCAAGTTCGAAAAAAAATCTGTAAAATATTCTTCAACATTGCAACAAAAAAGCGTTCTCGAATAAATTACTTTGTAATATATCGATAAAAATGCATACGCAAGACGCGAGATTCTCGGAAAAGCTAGGAATAGAATCCAATAATACTCAATAACGGATAACGAAGACTTGTCAGAGATCGACGGATGGTTATCTGTCTATGCAAACATAAATTGTCCAGGTGCATACCTCGTAGCAGATTTGCGTTGCACAATAGTTGTCTGCAATGTAACTCGACATCCGCGACGAAAAGCGAATCTCGTTAACGCAATTAGGTCAATTTAAACAATGAACATGCACGACGGTTTTTTTTTGCAATTTAATGGCTCTTTAATCACGAAAGTATTACGAGATCTCCGGGCGATAATTCTGTACAAGTTATACGTGCGCTTGAAAGCAAATGCGATTAGTTTATCAGGATTGTATTGTAAATTCATAGCGCGTACGCATAATATGTGTTTGCGCGACTATTAATTAGACAGCGTTTTATCAATCGATACAAGATAATGACAATTAAATGCGTTTACTATTAGAATAAATTCCTCGCGTTCGCAAAACGTTCTGGAGCTTGAGTGCAAAATATATATTCTCAAAGAAGCTTACTTAAAATCTGTTATAAAATAAAAAAGACAAATTAACGCCCTTTGCAGTCAAATATTTTTTGATATTAATTTTACTGTATTCATAATTTTTCAGTATGCAAATTAACGAATTTATAAACGGCGCATAAAATGCGTAGAAAAACAAAACTTACAAGCAGCCAAATTTGTGATATATTCATAGGTAAAAATGTTTGCTGTAACAGAAGAAAGTTACGATAGCAAAAGAATATAAAGATTTCGATTTGCGACTATAAAAAATTAAAAAAACAATTGATAGAGATTCTGTCACAAATTTTCCGTCATTAAATAATAGAATAGGGGAATGTTCAGTTTGATGGAAATTTTCCGGTACGGTTATTAGTGTCAAACTACAATGAGCTCGTCGATGCATTGAGCACTACGAGCTGACGGCTCGTCCCAAGTGTATCAAGTGAACCCATTACTGACAACACAGATCTCGCTTCCTAATCAAATTTAATGGAAAAATAGACCAGGGGAGTCTCGTTCGGATGTATTATGTCGCTGGATAGTGATGACCCTCCCTAATGCACGATCATCCTTCTTACACTGTCAGTGCG